TACGAAGAGAGCGTCCGCAAGACTATCGAGAGCTGTCTCACCGCTCAGGCCATGATTGACATCAACGCCAAACACTTGGAGGGCTTGAGGACCGAGTGTGCCATCAGTGCTGAGCTCACGCAGAATGAGATCCGCGGTCTTGAGGTATGTCTTGTAATGCGAGACACCGTTTGTCTCTTTTTATTAACGGTTAAACATTAACCCATAAATTGGTCGCTATTTGCAGACAAAACTCGTGAAGCTTTTCAGTCGACAATTGGTGGCGAAAAGGAAATGTAAAGACAGCCATAATATCACTGAATTGAGACAATATCCACAACTGCGGCAATGGCTAAGAGTTGTGGGTTTGGGCGACAAGTCTATCAATGTTTGTATTATTTTCATATGTCGTTAATTTTCAAATGATTTGCACTTTTATTGACTGAATGTATGGTAACAATGATTTCAGGGAATTTGTGATCGGATCACGACTTTTGATGCATTACTCAAATCATCGGAACAGCAAATGAAAGAAATTTTGCGCGAAAAAGAGTCGCCCGAAGAGGAGATCCGACGAATACTGACGGCGCTTAAGAACTTGAAGTTATCCATCGATAAGTTAATGGCCGGTGAGTTCCCATTAGAGTTGGATCTCCATTGGGACTCTTGGGACAGAACCACATCCACAACGAATACAAACTCAATCTCTTCCTCGTCGGCGACCGCATCGCCGAGAATCACACGAAACCGAACGATGCGATCGTCGGTGCCGTCGGACGAAACACTCAAGAATAGTAGTCCACTCTCACCGCCGCAATCAGCGGGTCTCTGGTCTTCGCAAACTGGTTCCTATATATTGAACGCCAACACAAACAGTAAGTGTGGCGACGCCTCCCGACCCACACCTCCCTCCACGCCTACCATCACCGCCAAGAAGAACGGCGGCAACCCTTCGGAGCGCAAGTTTCCGACGACTCCGCCGCCGAAGATTCGCAACCTATTGGCCGATCCCTTCCCACTCGTCAAATCCAAGTCACACGAAGAACATCTCGCCAACAGAATCGAGCCCTTGGATCCCGCGATCGCTAAGTATACCATTTACTTACATTAAGTGTGACTTTACTTTCGATAGTAGAATAGAGTTTTAGTGTTTATTTGATTTGATATATAATTAAAACTGTTTTCATTTGTTTGAAAATAATATTAGTGTTAAACGTAGTGATAGTATTGTGTATTAGTTGAAAGCGGGGGAAGTGTTGATATGATTTGTAAACCATTTCTAAACGCATGAAATATTTTATTTTTTCTTCAATGAATTGTCCTTTTGTTGGGATTGTGTTTTGCATCCGAAATGTGTCCGCAAAATGTATGGATTGATTGTTGTATTTAACGAAAACATTTGTTGCATCGAAACAAAAAATGATTGTGTGTTTGATTTGCACAACACATATATTAGTCAATTGATTCTGAAGTATATAACGAATGCCAATCATAACCATCACAACAGTTTAGACAATTTGCCGCATCAACACCGCCGGCGTTTGGCCACCGAACCCGGCTATGGCCACACGTCGCCCATCATTACGCCGCCGTCGCGCTCACCGCCGGTCGTCAGTCCCGACCAAACGCAAGACAATTGCTTTGTGGACACACCGGTGGCGCCGCGTTCGCCCCGCTCTCACGGTATGGCTCACTCTATTCATCATCGGTTCAGTACCACAATGAAGATCATCAGTACATGCAATCTGTGCGAAAAGCCAATGTTTTTTGGTTTTAAGTGCAAAGACTGCAAATACCGGTGCCATCGAGACTGTGTGGAGAAAGTGCCCAATTCTTGTGGTCTTCCCAACGAATTGGTCGATATATTCAAACAGACCATCAATAGTGAGGAAAGACGATCGCCAGTAGTGCCCAACATTAGTGCTGCGGCCGGCGCTCGGACTCAAAGTGAAATACTCGGCCGAAAGGCCCACAAAAAGCGAACTCAACATTACAACCAACCCATGATAAACCTGCCCTCCTTTGCCGGTCACGACTCCTCATCCAACACCTCGTCATGCAATTCGTCGACCCCTTCATCGCCGGCACTCATCAGTTACCCATCGATGACATCGACCCAAACGCCGCCCCAATCGGCGTCTATCGTCGGAAGAGTACAGCAGTTCCAGTTTCCAGAGATTTCGTTCTCCAACACTATTTCATTCCACGACAACTACAACACCATCGATGGTATCACTATTGAGACCAAACCATTCAGTGAGAGTGAAGTGATTGACACTCAGAAGAGTACGGACAGCGACAAGACTGTGTCGGGAACGTCGGGGTCGGGCAGCACCGACTCCGAGAAGACACTCGCCGGACGTGTGGACAGTCAAGACAGTCAGGCGTCGGACATCGACCCGAACGACAAGTCGTGGCCGCGACAGAACAGCCTAACGCTCAGAGAATGGGACATACCTTTCGACGAGCTTAAGATCGAAGAGGTGATAGGCGTGGGTCGGTTCGGAACGGTTCACAAAGGCAATTGGCACGGCTCGGTCGCCATCAAACGGCTCAACATGAACAACGTGTTGGACGACCGCCGCACCATTGAGTCCTTCAAGCAAGAAGTGGCCACTTTCCGCAAGACCAGACACGACAACCTCGTGCTCTTTATGGGCGCCTGCATGAAACCACCCCATCTCGCGATCGTCACCTCCCTCTGCAAAGGCATGACTCTTCACACCCATATCCACATCAGACACGACAAGTTCAATCTGAACCGAACAATCACTATCGCTCAGCAGATCTGTCAGGGCATGGGTTACCTCCACGCCAGAGGAATCGTTCACAAAGACCTTAAGTCGAAGAATATTTTCTACGAAAACGGAAAAATAGTGATCACCGACTTTGGCCTCTTCTCGGTGGCCAAGCTTTGCGTCGGCAATCGGTTCGTAGCCATTGCTTGTAGTGTTTGTCTGTCTGTTGTCTAATGTGTGGCTTTTGTTTGGCTATGACTTACAGAAAGGGTGATTGGCTTACGATTCCGAAGGGATGGCTCTGCTATTTGGCGCCCGAAATAGTCCGTAGTTTACGAATACACAGCGAACAAGAAACCGAAGAATTACCTTTTTCTACCGCAACCGATGTCTATGCCTTTGGGTTTGCATTTATTTAGTTGTTTGTTGTTATAATTTTGACTAAATGTTTATTTTTGATACCACACGACAGAACTGTATGGTATGAGTTGTTATTAGGCGAGTGGCCGTTCAAAGGGCAACCGTCTGAAGTGATCATATGGCAAGTGGGCAAAGGAGTCAAACAATCACTAATCAATCTCCAAACGTCCAAAGAAGTTAAGGTATGTTTCGCTCACTAGTTATGCGCTTTTGTCTGTTTATAAATCGCTAATTGGTTTTGTGTGTTGTTGTATAGGATTTGTTACTGATTTGCTGGTCATTCAAACCGCACGAAAGGACAGAATTCAGTAAATTATACGATATATTGACGCGTTTGCCAAAGAAAAGGCTACAAAGAAGTCCCTCCCATCCCATACATCTGCTCCGTTCGGCGGAATCGCTCTTCTAATTACAATTAGTTTTATTATATTTAAAAATACAAAAACAAATTATATATAAATATATTAGTTATAGATTTATCTAAAAATTTTAATCATATAAAAAACAAATTAATTCTCACAAAAAATATTTGCTACGAAAACTAAACTAATGAAATAATTTAATGAATTGAATATTTTTTGTCTTAACTGTGATGTTATATAATAATTATGGTTATTCTAATTGTAACGGTAATGTCCGGGACATCGATTTGATTCACTCCCGGATATCGTAATCGTATTTAGTAAATGAAATACCAGTTCCCTCTCACTGTCGGGACAACAGTATATTGAGTACACTTTTTATGGTATAGTTTATTGCAATGAAAAAACAAATTGTAAATATATATTAAATTTAATTTAACAAAAAGTAGTCAAATATTATTATTATTATACAATAATATCTGAGAAAAGATCCATTTCTTTATTTTTCATGCAATTTCTCAAACCTTAATGCAAATACTATGAGAAAACAATTACACCATAGATTGTACACTAAACTGAGATTTGATTTGTTTGAATGCATTATCACTCGATTCGCATATTTAAGCAAAGAATCGTAAATACATTTTTATCCATCGATTAGTGATTCTTATTGTCTCATCAAATGAATTGTCAATTCAAACACAATATATTGTCAAACATTTCAAACCATTTTAGACGAGGACTAAGGAATCGCATGAATAAATCAAACGAATATAAAAAGACAAACACTTTATTTCGTAAAAGTCATGTGAGATTTTAATTGTAAGCACTATATTGTGCTAAACATACAAATGTATTAAATTAAGAAAAACTAAATAAATTTATTTAAAAAACTTACAAAAATGCATTTTTAACCACAATTCATTTATGAAGAATGTGGTTTATAGGATCGTTTGACCCACATCCTTTTCTCCCTTCCCCACACTATGTACCGTAATTTGTAGGTATACCATGGTATAAATTACTATATTTTATTCTTTAACATGGGTAACGATAAGTCTATGGTAATGTTAATTCTATGAATAATGCCTGTTTATTATTTATAACTTTTATCAATTTTTGAAGTTTTATTGCAATTAATTTTTCCCTACGTTTGCTATTTCTCAATGTCTGATACAATACAGAGTTAATGCCAATTATTTTGAACATAACTATTTTTTAGAAACTTTAGCAGCAAATTATAATTACAATTAATTTTATTTGTAATTTAAAAGTCGATAACGAATATTCATATAAAACATATGCAGTATATTTACAAACAATTTCAAGAATGTCTTTATGACAAGAATTGGCAAAATTGCCAAAAGAATTGAGACGATTCTGCGCTCAAAAAATATTCTGATAATTGCTGTCATAATAATAATTATTATTTAGCTTTCAGTGAATACTTTGCAATAAAATTTCCCTTCTTTTCCGACTCTTAAGCGAATAGTTTTCTCTTACTTTTGCTTAAAATAACAGCTCTTTTCTTAAATGTGAAATAAAATGAGTTTTCGTTTAAGAATTATAAGTATTAAAAAGTGTTTATTATTTATAAAAATGAAGTCAAAGTTTTAGTTTATTCTAATAAAAAGTTAAACAAATAAATAACTAAAAGTATGGCAAAAAGATTTGCTATAAAGTCTGGCGAATTCCTTCGCATAAACGCTTCTGACATACCGGCGGGTCTTCTAGTGTTGGATCCGAGACACTTCACCGGCCATCTCATGACAACCGACACTAAGTCCAAAGTTGTCAGCATTTTTGTATACCTCAAAAAGTTGAGTGAGAAATGGTTTTCTCACATCCTATTACTAATCTGTCTTATTCTGTACGCCTGTATCGGCGCCTGGATTTTTGAGTCCGTCGAAGGCGGACACGAATTGCAACAAAATGTATGTCTAATAATATTTTGTACATATATTTTAAAGTTATTTCATTCAACGATGTGTCCGCACATATATGTAGGCCATTGTACGGGAACTTCGGGCGCCTCTAAATAATATGACCGACAGATTGTCAAAACAGTTGTGGAACGAAAGGCTCAGATATCCTCTACCGGACGGAAACTCGTCTCCACTCGAAGTGGACAGTCGTTGGGATAGAGCTGTGACGAAGATGTTGTCACAATTTGAGGTTCAGGTGACCACTACTTGCAAACGGGGTCTTCAAAGAGGTATATCTCACGATCAGGAGACCAGTCGATGGACTTTTATGGGCGGACTGTTCTTCAGTATGACTGTCTTTACAACAATTGGTTAGTAGTTTCCACACAATAAATATCAGCTTTATGCTTTACAACATATTTAATACCATATTAATCAATTCATAGCATTATTAGCTTGATGTTGATTAACATATCTATTTTTAACACATGTTTTTTACTTAATTTAAAACTCCTCCAACCATTTGAACAACGATTGCATTTCCACATTGAAAGTGAAAATCTATTTTTATATTAGCGTTAAATTGTTTGTCACTTTTATTTATTGATATAGAAATATAATTAAGATTTATAAATATTAAAATGATATTTAGATATTACATTATATTTTACACCTAAAAATAAAATATTTTTAATTAATTTTGATTGATTACTTTACACACTGCAAAAAATTTCCTAAGACTAGTTATTAAATGATTTATTATAACAATTTATGCCTTGAAAAATATTTTTATTCCTATATTTGTGATTGTGTTATAATTTACGTTAAGTAACTGTTTATTATATCTGTAGAAATTTATATATCTATAGAATATGTATATCTGTAGAAACTTTTGATTTATTGTCAGTTATTTTTATTGATGTTTATTTTTGTTGAAGAATTTGTTTAATTTTCATGTCTTAAGTCGTTTAAAAAGGATTATTCATTGACTTAGAGAGAGAGAGAGAGAGAGAGAGAGAGAGAGAGAGAGAGAATTCACAATTACATGACAAGAATTGCGACAAAAGATTTAAAATGAATTTTAAAAATAAGAGTAAAATCGGGTCAAAGAGGACGAGTAAATTGCTTGTAGTTTTGGTTATCCATCTATTTTTAAAACTAATACATTTATCCAATAATTTTGCGGAACACAGTATACAGTCATCTCTTGTGTAAAACAAGTGTTACAAAACAAAAATGAAAGTAAAGCCAAAAATTAGTTTAAATATAGGTTTTTGAGAGATAATGAACTATTGAATGAAATACTACAATAACTTTGTTTAAAAATTCCTGACATTTATTCAAAGTCTGCTCTAAATTCCCATTTTTAGGTTATGGAGATAACCCGCCGAAGACACGCACCGGTCAGGCATTCACAATGGTTTACGCATTCATAGGAATACCATTACTTCTGATGGTTTTGGCAGATATGGGCAGTATATTCACGCGAGGCATCAAATTTATCTTCAAATATATTCGACGACTTTATTACACAAAAAGTCTGCGAAGAGTGAGAAGAGTTGGCAGAAGTGTGGGAAATATGGGCCGTAGGGCTACTCTTCATAACATTAAGGTACTGATGACTTCCGCATAGAAAGATGACGAGTGGTATTAAAATTAATTATAAATATTGTTTACAATTAGTATATGGACACAGCGGTCGGTGCCATCAATCGAGGCATTGCTTACATACCATATGTTCCCAAATCATCGAAAGATAATAATGAAAACCAAAACGACAAGAGTATCGGCCTTACAAAGAGTCCGGCCGTCGTCTTCAAGAATCCCGGAAAGAAAGGTCCGTTTATTGTACGAACAGATCCGACACCACCGCAAACGGCCACCGCATCGACGCCACCCGTCACACCACTTCCCGAAGACTTCCTCGACATTGACGACG